TTGCATCTAAACTGCCATGGATTATTATTTAATTACCCTTTAATAATTTATATAGAGATAATAATTTATTACAGTTGTTTTATAAGTATATAAATATATGATGTTGATAATTACATTTTTACTGTGGCAATTTATTAAGAGTGATATGCTGAATGGCTAAAATTATGAGACTGTTAAAATATATGGTCAGTTATCTGGAGCGTGTAAAACAATTGCGATGGCAGGCGAAAACAAATCTGCCTGTTGTCTAGTGGAGTGCCAGTTTCCAGTGTTCAGCATGTTTATTTATTTATGCGCTTCAAGAAAGAAGGACTTGGCACTGGCTGGATACTGGGCCACTGCGGGTATCCTCAACGCTCTACGACTGGATGAGGAGGAGGGAGGTATAGGCCAGCACATTAAAGATGCATGGGGACCAGTACGTTCAGTTTAAAGTTCTCCATGCTCTGTGCAGGCCCACTGAAATATGCATGAGTCACACCACATGTGCAGGCTGCAGCACGTCAAGTTACTTTCCACCTTGGCGGATCGTGCAGCGGCTAACGGCGCGCTTGCAGCAAAGCAACAGCAGGCTCTTCTGAAAAAGAATGCTTGAGTCGTAAGTTGTCCATTATAATAAACCGGTTCTGCATGCCTGTGTTTATCATGTAGAGTTATTTAGTGTCATAAAGTAGATTTACAAGGCAAGGAAGAATACACAGCAAAACACCCTGTTGAAAGGTATTTATTATAATGCATGTTCTGTCCATATAGATGTTGCTTTAAAGTTTGCAACTTAAAAAAAAAAAGCTGTAGGAATTTAGATTTGTCAACATATCATTAAAACAGAAAGTTTGGTTTATTTCTAACCAATTTATAGGAAAAACAAGGATTTTCAAAGTAGCCTGTTATGCCGGCTTGTTAGTTATAATGAGTTGTTTGTTCATAGGCTGGCCTCTAGACAAAGTTGTTTGGTCTGCTGGATTTCCTTGAAAGTCAACATGAAATCAAAATTAATAATTTCTTTTTCCATTGGTCTTGCCTTATTTTGATTAACTGGTTAACTGGTGCAGTTTTCCAAATAAAATCAAAATGAAATAACTTTTCCCCTGAAACAACTATTGTATAATATTAATAAATATCAATAATAGCTATTTAGGCACTGTTTTGTCAAACCAACACAAACCTTGAATCCATTTTTTTCTACACTGAACATCCTGTTTCACTTTGAAATACATCAAATTACAAGAATTAGAATGGGTTGCAAACATGGCTTCCCTTTGACTTTAATGACTTTAAAGTGTCTACAACAACTAAAACACCAAAAGCCAACTCATGAGGAGGTGCAGAGACCACATTAACCACTCTAAGGCTAAAAATACTAAATCTAACTTCTAAAAATAATGTCAAGTGTCGACTACGTAACTGTAGTCAGCTGTAGTCTCACCTATGAATGAACTGTATTCAAAGTATTGTGCTGTGTTGCTATTTCTACCACATAGATCTAACAGCGACCTCCAACATGTCAGGATCCGTTATCACTTCGTGGCACGTAATGCCAATGAGATCTCCGTGCAGCCGGGTGAGGTGCTGGAGGTACGGATGACCCTCTGTGAGGAGGTGGAGGTGGAGGTGGAGGAGGATGGGGAATGGGGCAGAACAGGTCTCAAGTACACCGTGTGGGAGGCAGAAGAAGAGAAAACATGACTACAGCTCTCACACAGTGCTCAAGGTCTAGAAGACTCTGTAGGCCGATGTTTGAACATAAATTATATATATATGTATATATAAAAAAATCCTGTTGTACAAAAGTTTGTGGAAAAGTACAATCCTGTTGTATAAAAGTTTGAGGGAAACTAGTTTGAACACAACATATCTAAACTATAAAAATACATGAATCTAGTTCTGTCCACTTTATGATGCATTAATGATACTCCGTTTGCAACTGCACATTATTGTAACACTAGTTCACTCTGAAAGGAATGGTTCACCCAAAAATGAAAATTTGCTGAATATTTACGCCAATGATATAGATATAGATGAGTTTGTTTCTTCACTGGAACAGATTTAGAGAAATACATTACTTGCTTACCAATGGATCCTCTACAGTGAATGGGTGCTGTCAAAATTAGAGCTGCTAAAAACATCACGAAGTAATTGACACAACTCCAGTCCATCGATTAATGTCTTGTGAAGCAAAAAGCTGCATGTTTGTAAGAAAAAAAATCCATCATAAAGATGTTTTTAATTTCCAACCTTTCTTTCTGGCTATAATATGCATACTATATCCATAATATCGCTTTCTCCAGTGAAAAAGTTGTCTCGTCTGAATCAGGAGAAAAATATGTACTATCAAGTACTGTTTATAAGCGAAAACAGTCTAAGGTCCGTTTCACACCACAAGTGTGAGCAGTGTGTATTTTTTTCAGCGTGCATGTTAACAAATGAGTACATTCACACCGGGAGCAGGAGCAGAGCTTGAGCGTCAAGCAGGAGCATCGTATGAGCAGCGCTGAAGCGATGGTTTTGGCGCCGAGTCTATTTTTGCTGCACCGCTCACACTCAATTAAAGTGACAGCACACTTTTAATACGTATTTTAGCCAGAAGTGACAGTTTATATCACCCTAATGATGTATTTGTTTCTTACAAACATACAGCTTTTCACTTCACAATTAATGGACTGAAGTCGTTTCGATTATTTATAGATTCATCTACATTTTGGATGGCCTGAGGGCGAGTACATTTTAAGCAAATTTTCATTTTTGGTGAACTATAGGGTGAAAATAAAGGTTCCAAAAAGAGAACAACACCACAGAAGAACCATTTTTGGTCCCCCAAAAGCCTTTCAGTGAACTTGCCTAAAATAACCATTTTCTCTTAGTGTGAAGAACATTTTTCTTCCACTATAAAGAACCATTTGTAGAATGGAAAAGGTTCCATGGACGTTGTTCTTCATGGAACCATAAATGTCATTAAAGAGCATTTATGTTTAAGAGTGTAAGCCCTTGCAAATGCACAATACCCACAACAATTTAGAAAGCTGAAGTCGAACAACACCACAGAAGAACCATTTTTGGTCCCCCAAAAGCCTTTCAGTGAACTTCAGTGAAATAACCATTTTCTCTTAGTGTGAAGAACATTTTTCTTCCACTATAAAGAACCATTTGTAGAATGGAAAAGGTTCCATGGACGTTGTTCTTCATGGAACCATAAATGTCATTAAAGAGCCTTTATGTTTAAGAGTGTAAGCCCTTGCAAATGCACAATACCCACAACAATTTAGAAAGCTGAAGTGAAGCATGTGGGAAGGCATCCTTTCAACCTGCCACTTTCAGATGTCTGCCATTTCTCTCAGAACAGCCTCCAGCCCTGAGGCACTCTATTTACATGAGAACTACTGAAGTGATCAAGAGGGATTACCCCCAATTGGCTAATCCATCTGGAAACACGGATAATCGTGTTTCTAGACATGCCCGGCCTGAGCCTGGTATCACTGGGATTTCATTCTGGGATCCCAATGGTAGGATGCATCATTGGGACACAGTATGACACAACCGCTGCACCAAAACCTTTTAGTTAAAATTAGACAACATGTTGAATGAACAAGAAAGAGTCTGAAGAATAGATTTGTCCCAAAAAATCCTGCTCCATGCACACTCATGCAGTTTACAGTGCTAATAGTAGACATGAATCTCATGTGCTTCTAGGTCTTGGAAAACAATAAACAGTGGTGGCTGCTGAGGAACCGCAGCGGTCAGTCGGGCTACGTGCCGTGTAATGTGCTAGAAGAGGTCAAACCAGGACAGCAGCAGTACAACCGTGCTGCTCTCTTCAACAGCCAGGTTAGCTTGCAGTCCAAAAACCTCATTGTAACACTGTTCATCAAACAGTCTGGTTTATTATTTGCATTCTACAAGGCACATTTCATGAATACAATACACTTTAGTGTCTCATTACTTTTTGTTTAAGCATCATATGTCTAAATAGACTTTAATCAGATTAGACACTATACTGAATTTAACCCGGATGAAAATGAAGCTGTGATATGCTTACAGTACTTACAATGGCACACACCGTATAAAGGTCCTGTATCACATAATTTTCACAACTTATGAATTTTAAAGCTGTTTTATGGCGTTTTTGTCTACTGAAAGTTTTTTTTTCCTTGTCAAAAAGACATTTTGTCAGGTTCTGTATGTTAACAACAATACAGTCCATTCAATGCACTGCGTTTATATCCCTCACAGCCACATTTTCAGTCCTGCCAAAAATAAAAAATGGCACTACCCTGAATAAGGTCTATAGTTCTATGAATTACATGCAATCTGTAATGAGCCCAATTTTACATAGAAAGGGGGCATGTTTGTGCTGAAAAGATGGACAGTGACTTAATTTAAATATCCACAACACTATTTCAGCTCATTCACTTTAGTATTAGAGGCACAGATACCATGTTTTGTTTTAATAGCCTAGATATTTTAGACAAATTGTGATTTTGGCCTGTCCACTTTTAAAATATATATATATATTTACATATATTACATACAGTTGTCATAAACATGCATAAAACCTCCTTCATATTCATGACATGTGTCATGTCATGATTATGAAGGTGTCATGTCAGTCTTATGCACACCCCTTCAAGTAAAGTGTTACCGAAATTTTAAGCTGTATTTAGACAGGCCCCAGTTTTGCTCACAGGGTTGAAAAATTGCACACCTCATGGAAAATGAATAGAAATACAGTAGTAATAGAAACAGAATACCATTTTATAAAGGTTAAGCACTTTCTTTCACCGACCACTTGTGGAAAAAGAGAAAAATACTTCGACATTCAGGCTCTTTGTTGTACCTTATTCATGGAAAGTACAGGCATATATTCTCCCACTCTACATGGCACACGTTGACTCTTTCTTTTTCTGCCCCTCTGTTTTTCCCTGGCTTTTGTTCTATCTCTACAGGCTGTGAATCCTTACAAAGGTACCTCCACTGTCTCTGTAAATCACACCGAGGTTTTGGAGATGAATAAATCCTCCAGGGATAAAGATAGTACGTACCTTTTATCTGCTCGCTGTATTTGCTGTGAGATGGAAAGCGGGGAGAGTCTGCCGAAAAAATGCAGAGAAGTGGGAAATGAATTTGGTGTGAGAGTGCTCTTATGTACATAGATTGCAGATTCCCACCAGAGCTCATTGCTCCTGTCTTGGGCAATCTTATTCACTGTCTCTGTCCCAATGCTTGTTTCTCTGTCTCTCGCTTCTTCTGTCTATTTCTCTAGACCGCAACCAACAGAAGGAGGTAAATGATGAACTACTGAAGAGGATAACCGACAACAAGGCCCAGCCCCCAGCTCGAAACTTTCGGGTGGAGGGCTCAAGTACATCCGTGACCATCACATATGAATCCCAGCCCTTTGAGGTCCACGCTTGGCTCAATGTAAAGGGATTCTCTAGACCGTGAGTGACACGTGAGCTGTGACATGTGACAGTTTCACTAATATACTTATATAGGTGGTGTAACCTAGTGGATAAACATATGAGCTGTTAAACTGAGGTTACAAGTTCAACTTGGACTTGTCTTGGACTCGACAAAGCTGGACTTGTCTACAGCTCTACTCAACACTTGACACACAAACCTCAAGAATGGTGACAATCAACAAATGTAAAAAGATGAGCTCTTTACATCTCAACACACCAAATAACAATAATGACAAAATAGCAAAAGTTTAAATGAAGTCAGCAAACAGCAAAACAATAATCTTATAACAGTAACCACATAAGTCAATCATGCTGCAAATCATGCTGGGAACTCACAACATTAACATTTCAGCAATATGAAATTCTGGGGGACAACATTTGGGGGAATTCTGCTGGTCTGACATGGGTTTTTATGTCATTTCAAGAAAATTGTATTTCTTAGTATCTGAGACTTAAAATGATTAGTAAACATGAAAATATGTAGGTGCTTTTTTTTTACAGTGCAGAATGGAGGCATGTTTGTGCTAAAAAGAATGAAAATATTCACACCAATATTTCAGCTCATTTAGTGCCTGGAAACTGTATCAAGAAAGTTGCACACCTGTTTAGTGAATTTGCCCTAGTATATTTTCATAGTATTTGAAGCAGTTTATCTCAGACAATCAAATAAAATTGTATTCCTCATGAAATGACTCCATATGATGTAATATTGTCTTCACATTCCAGGGTGGTGGAATGTCTTGGTATTCTGAACGGTGCTCAACTATTTTCCCTCAGTAAGGATGAGCTGAAAGCTGTGTGTGGGGATGAGGGTTCCCGTGTCTTCAGTCAGATCAGTGTGCAGAAAGCTCAAATAGAGGTCTGTCACAGAGCTATATTACTGAATTTGTGCTGATTAAACATTCAAGTGCAGTCCAAAAGTGGGCTTGAATGTCTTTCTTTTTCTCAGAGGGGTCATGGGGATACAGAACTACAGGAGATCATGAGGCGACGACAACAGGAGGTGGAGGACTCAACCTGGGAATGATTAAAGTCAATCAGGCCATCACTCATGGCATTATTTCCTCACATTTTCTTGAACGCTCTTGTTCACTCTAAAATCAACAGCCACCCAGAGTAATGCAGAACAGATGGACTAAACAACTCCAGTCATTAGTGAAGCCCAGTCCCGCCTATTTCCTTTATGACCCATACAATGTAGTGCTTAACTCTAGTGCTTAAACTGATGAACATGAATGCATTGGGAGTGAAGTCTTTAACCTCCATTTATAGAGAGGAAAATGCTTTTGATAGAAGGCATTGACTTATGATTGGTGCTATTAAAGGAATAGTTAATCCCCCCAAAAATAAAAAACTCTGGCATTATTTATTCAATCTCAGGTCGTTTCAAAACCCATTTGCAGTTATTTTTTATGTAGAACCTCCTTTTTTCATAAAATGCTAAAAGTGGCAATGTCTGTCAAGTGTAAGTCATTATTCACTAGCTTTCAAATCAACTATGGCGCTGTTCAGCACATCTCGTCAAATGCCACTGCTTCTAAGGGTGAGTAAATAATGACATTGATTAATTATCATTTTGGGGTAAACTATTCCTTTAATCTGACATTCGATACAAGTCCCATCTGTTTCTGCATAAATAATAAAAGATGAATCAAAAAAATTAAATGATATTAAGTAATGCAGTGAAGTATTGTAATCTATTATCACATACTTAATTTGGCTAAATGACTACTTGAATATTAATTTTAAACAATGTGTTATTTATTTTTTTCGATTCTTCAATATACTCTATATAATTTTTTTCTCTCATACTTCATAATAAGAGAAATGAGAGCACATATATGTATTGTGAAACATTACTTGTCTGTACTTTTGAATTATGATTCTGAACAGTGTTTGTCATTAAATAACAACATTTTTAAAATAAACTATGCAAACACATGGGTATTTTACTAGTATGTGTGCAAGTTATGGGTCTGTACTTCTGTAACTGATAAAAAAAAAATGTTCACATGAATCGTGTATTGATTCCCTAAGTGCCAGATGATATTGTACTATTGCTTTTCACTTTTCACAATTTCTGGTGCACTTCTTACCCAGTGTTGTCTATAAAGCCCCCTTTCAGTCCTGTGGAAACCATAAGGCTGAATCTCTAACCGCCTCACTGACTGGCAGCTTTGCTACTCACCCTCACAGGGGGCACATAACAGTGGCTTTCAGTTTGTCTTGTTGCTTTATTTCTGGAATAGATTGTGAACGCATCAGTGAGTATTGTGCTGTGTTCAGGATGAGTGAGAATGACCTCCATTTCCTTTTATATGCACTGTCATAACACCTCCCAGCCTTAAGAGAGGGTGAATGTGGCTGCGTATTGTCACTATGATTCATGGCATGAATCAATGCCTAATGATGGGATTTACAGAGAGGAACATCAAAGAAAAGATACTGGAGATTTGCAGTGCAGCTATTGTTATTCGCATCCAGATAATCTACCATTTTTGAGAGAATTTTCTATAGGCCTTTCTATCTCCCATATATCATGGAATATGACATCAGGCTGAGTAGATATAAAATGTATAATTACATCACCATAGTCTCAAATAGCTTAAAAAGAATGGCATACAATGCACAGAGCAATGAAGTTATGTTTTAACACCAAAATGTACTTTTAAATCAATAACACATTTTACATTAAAGCACTGTATTAGAACTTGATTAGTTTTGGCAAACATATGTGATCCATGACACCTGAAGCTTCATTTGCCTGAGAACTAGACTGCTTTAGTATTTGGTTAAAAAGGAATGAACACTAGTTCATTTATATTTACAGTATATATAACGTCTCGGTTACTTGTGTAACCCTCGTTCCCTGAAGGAGGGAACGGAGACGTTACGTCAGTCGTGACTGACGGATTGGGATCTCGCCCGAGAGCCCAATCCCCTTTGAGTGTTAACTAAACAAGCCAATGACAGTTGGCGTGCATGTTTCGCCACGTGCACCCCACCCCGCAGCGCGGGTTTAAAAGGAGAGCGCGTACAAACGCACATCAGTTTTTTGCTGCTGAGACTACGTGCCCCGGCAATACAGCGGTGGTACAGCAACTGTGGCGACGGGACGCTTTTCAGTCAGTCACATTCTACGTTACGTCAGTCGTGACTGACGAATTGGGATCCGTATGGAAAACGCCACTATTGCTGACCCCCTCCAGTGCCCTGCGGAAGCCGGCAAGTCCCCCCACACCAGCTGGGGCAGAAGATAGGACAGCGGCTAGGCAGAGGTGTCCGCACTGCTGTTCCATACAGTGGTACATTGGATAACACTGGGAAAGCGTACCCAGTTGGGACGCTACGGAAGCCACATCCCGCACATAGGAGGTAACATGTGGAATTACACATATGGACTGGCCCAGGGCAGTGCTACATATGGAAGTCCCTGCGGTAGACTCAACCCGCCTGGGGTGAGAT